GGAGGAGGCTGCCGCGGAGGGTGTGGACGATGACAATCGCGCACAAATTGTGACGTCGACCCGGGCGGAGTTCGCGGCCAAGGAGGTATTTTGCGACCTGTGGGAGCTCACGCAGCTGACGCACATGCCAGAGTACTATGGTGTATTCTATGAGCTAGCATGTTTCCCCTCACAGCGGGTCATGCTCGTGTATGAAGGCGTGGTTATTGATTCAGTATACTAAGTTTACGTGGATACAGCGCGTGCTAGCGTGAACAGGAATATGCGGAAACGGCCTATGTCTGCCTCCTCGAACCCCGTCATGTCATACCCACGCAAAACTGCCGCGATGACGGCCAGTATCCATACGCCGCAGTCGTATGTGTTGTGCTGACGTGCTGCTGTCTAGGGACTGGGTGAGACTGCGCCTAGCGGCGTCGGTGAATGCTACTTACCGTGGTCGGATACACGGCCCATGCACGTTGCGCGTGGACAATGTGATGACCCTTATCCGCTGCAATATTGAGCAGGCGCGCGGTGAGCTGCATGACGTCCTGTCGATGCCAATATTAGGATATGCCAGACTTTGACGCCATAATTACTTACCTGAATATGACCCTCCCATGGATGCTCCCGGGCAAAACTGTCGAAGTAGGCGACGCGCGACCGGGGAATGTCAATGGTCGCCAGCATCCAATGGTCCTCGTAGTGGATCGGGATTGTCCATACATCCTTCTCCCAGAAACGTGTGCTTGCCGCATTGCGCCAGAGGGTCGCATCGCCGGCATCCGCGCGCACTAGGGGGAGCATGTATGTGGACAGGAGTGCCACCCGCTCACCTCCTGGACCCAGGAAGACGAGTTGGAGGAGCTGCATGCATGCGTTGATGCAGCTATCATTCATCCACGCACTCCGGTTCTGCAGGCGACTCATGTCTGACGCATCGAGGTGGACGTTGCTTTGCAACGATTGCGAGAGGACCGGGGCCGTGGCTTGCAGGAAGTGGGGAGCGTCATCGATGGAGACATGGATCTGCGCACATTAGCGCAAGTGCGGTATCACGACAAGGAAGACTTACTGGAGTCTCCCATGTCATGGTTATCGTCATGACAGATGCCTCGGACCTTGCATCCTCAGGGGGCCCCTCGTCGCCACTAGCGTCGTCCAGGAAGACGTCCTCCACCAGATGCTGTTCTGCCTCGAGGTATGACGGTTCCTCCTCCTCCAGACGCCCGTAGGGGTCTGTATCATCTTGATGGATGATGTAAGGGAGGGGAGTCTCGATGACGAACGGCCATGCATACACTTGAGGATCGCCGAGGGCGCTGTTGACCGTCTCGGACGCGAGTGTGGTCTGTGCGTCAAATCGTTGAGGCGAGACCAGTGGGTTCTTCCATTTGGCAGGTAGGAGCAGAAGCTCGCAGACGCGTTGCTGTAGGAGAAACGCGATATCCGCATCTGGTAGGGTCCATGGTTAGTGGAAGGGGCGAGTGGCGCTAGCGATGGCTTGGTGTACTTACTGGATGATGTCGCCAATGCCAGTTTGGCGGCCGCAAGCTCACTACCATACCAACGACAGATGTTGTCTGCCTCTCTTCCTAAGCGGCGCCGCTCCTCTAGACAACGGTCTCCAAGTAGGAGCGCGCGAATACCCTTGCGGACGTCGACGTCTTCGAGCCATCGGGGGGCTTGAGCTTGTGAGGGGTCAATCCAGACATCGGCGAGGAGGCTGGCGTCGTCGCGGAGGGCGTCGAGGTCAGTGGGAAGTGGAAGGGGTACGGTGATGGTCCACTCCGGCTGTTTGAGTTCTTTGAGGCTCTCGCAATAGCGATTGAACTTGCGGATCGCTGTCTTGAGGGCGGGCGTACGCTTCGCAATTGCTTTGCGGGTCTGCTGATGGATCTTGGTGCCTATGTGACATGTTAATAGTGAGCGCTGTGCCCCGATGTCTCGCACTCACCTAGAGGGTTGTGCCGTCCACCGACCGCTTGGTCCAGCCGATCCCATTCAAAGAAGCTCCCCACTGCGCGCTTGCGAATGTTGATCTTCAGGTCGCGTGCCATTAGTAGCAGCCTCACGAACTCGAGGCTGACGTTTCCGAAGTCTGGGAAGCTGTCCGTGATGTTAAGCGATGAGTATAGGGCCTCTACCTTATCAACCAGGCGTGTATGTGATCGTTCGAGGCTCGCGACGACTTCATGGGACTTGGCAGACGCTTCACCATTTTCAAGGACTGTCCGTGTTGTTTCGATAGCCTTGTTGACAGTGTCAAGGTCAGCCTGCAGGCTCAACACAACGTCCAGCTCCTTCTTGAGATGCGCTGGAGCATCTGTGGGAGGGTCAGCATTGGTATCATGATCATAGCAGATGCCTTACGCGCTCTGATAGATGTCTGCGCTACGCATTGCTGCTTCCATTCGTCTCGTAGCTCCTCCTTGGGAAT